TCTCATCTTATCAGTTTATTTACTCAGATTTATCTTTAGTTGCTATGTTAACAGCTATATATGTTATTTGATCTCAAATGTAACACATTGCTCATCATTTCAGCATTTGTAATCATATCACATCATTTCTGAGTAATTTCTACAGAAACCAAACCTGTACTTCCTTTTACCATATCTGCTGACACTTTATTTCTGTAGGATTGTGGATTAACACAGCCATGTTGTAAACCTAAACTAAAAGAAAACCTGAAAGCACTGGGTGTTTGTCATTCTGGAACATTTTACAGGATGGAAACAACTATGCTAATTTTGGATGTAGCACTTTACTTTTAAGTGGGTGATGCCTTCTCTTCACCTTTCTTGATTCATAATGTTTCATGTTTCTGATCATTTTCCTTTGAACCACTACTTTCTTACTTCCTGCTGTTGTGATGTCTTTTTTGATCTACAGCATATTTGTATGAAGTATAATCTTACTCATAATGTGATCGTTTCACAGTAATTATTTGTCTAAGTGACCAAACAAGACAAACAAACATTAAACAAGGTTTATCAGTTTGGTATGGCCATGTAACAAAGACAACAAATGGAATCGGATGGTAAAGTTTAAAATGTAATGCAGAGATGGGAAGTAACGAAGTACAAATACTTCGTTACTGTACTCAAGTAGATTTTTCTGATATTTTTACTTTACTTTACTACTTATTTTTATGGCGACTTTTTACTTCTACTCCTTACATTTTTACACAATTATCTGTACTTTCTACTCCATGCATTTTAAAAAATTGTCTCGTTACTTTAGTTTTGAATCATTTCAATGGAGTTACCGTTATTATTTTTCACGTCATCAATACCAAATTTAATCTAATTGGATGGGAATCTACGTTGCATTTGACGCACCGCTACAAGATGAATCGACAGATTCGGCGGTATTCATTCGCGGCAAATCATTGCAGCTTGGTGGCGGTGGCGTTAGCATAGTAGCATGGACGACGAGATGATTGAAAATGAACACAACGGAGATCTAGTCCTATTGGCAGACATCCATTTAAAATGTAGGCAACGGCATGAAAAAAGTTGTTTCTACTTTTACATTTATACTTTAAGTAAATTTACAAGCCTGTACTTTGTTACTTTTACTTGAGTAAAGAAGTTTAATCAGTACTTCCACTTTTACCAGAGTATTTTTTAACACAAGTATCTGTACTTTTACTCAAGTACGGAAAGTGAGTACTTTTGCCATCTCTGATGTAATGGATAAGTCAAACTCTGTGTTGGGGCTAAAAGATTGCTATAAAGTATTGCTGCTTATGTGGTCACATTTCCAGATAATTATGATAAAATTAAAAGAGACTGATGGTGTAATCTGAATACACATTGTTGATTTGTTCCTACAAAATGATTAATAATTACAAGTTTAGACTTTTCTTTTTTTTGGACAGTTGCACTGCAAAAACGATCTACAAATAGGAAAAAAAATTTAAATTAAGTGTATTTACTCTTAATTTAAATAGGTAAATAAAATGATTTGCCAATGTAATTAGTAATTTCACACTTAAAATATGATAATTAGATAATATGCACTCCAAATAAGATAATGCAATTTGTTTTTCTTATTTTTGTATAAATCACCATCTTCAATTGCAAAGTATCTCACCTCCTAAATTCAAGATGACCTTATGAAAAAAAAAAAAATACTTATTTAATTTTTATTTTTTGCAGTGTGTTTTATGCTTCAACTTGAGTAACCAAAGAATGCTGGCCCGTTCCGATTTTAATTTATGATTCAGTTCATATCAGGCTTTTGTATTCACATTGAAACATCTATCCATCCATCTTCTCCCCCTTATTCCGTCAAGGTCATGGTGGGATTGGTGCCTATCTCTGACGGTACATGGGGGCAAGAGGCAGGGTGCACCCTGGATAGGTGTCGCAGGGCATACAACCATGCACACAAAATGGCACCTAAGGACAATTTAGATAAGCCAATTAACCTTACAGTCATGTTTTTGGACTCTGGGAGGAAGTCAGAGTACCCGGAGAGAGAACCCATGCATGCACAGGGTTAACAAGCAAACTACATGCAGAAAGACCGCGGGCCATTAATTTAACCTTGAACCTTCTTGCTGCAAGACCACAGTGCTACAAAGTGCCCCCACACAATATATTCTGAGCTAAAATGTGTGGCCTTTAAACATAAATGATCATCTCTTTTAGTGAACTTGCTGAAATTCCATTTCTATTTCTAAGAGGGTTTTTCATTTCCTCATGACACTGTGCTCTCCTTGAGCCACTCACACACAGGAACATTTGACTTCTTAAGGCACACAAAGGCAGGAAGGGGCTGAGAATAATGTTTTGATTGGTCTGAACTGGTCCTCTGCTTCTTTAGAAGAAGCATGTGTGACCTAAAAGACAGAGCAGTGACAGAAGGCATCAGAAATGTTTTATGATTTGCCCCTGAGCACACAGTCAGAGCAGATCCTTTTTCATTAAGAATCAGTGAATGCGGAGTGCTTCATACATTGCTTTTTATTTAGCAATTTTGTCAGTGTATGAGATCAATTATATTTCACTTTTATTTATTTACTAGTTTATGCATACTAAACATTTTATGTTTTTATTGTTGCCTTTATTTAGTAAGCTTCTGACAAGTTAGCTCGCAACATTAGAAAAAATGAGGAACGCATGTATTTAAGGCAACACATCTACCTCAACCAGGGGCTGCTTCTGACATGGGCGATGTGGTGAGCTGCCCAAGGCGACTGCTCATTTAAAAAAGCAGAAGGTACTGTTTTATATAGTCTGTCTAGCCCGCATAAAATTTCCTATCGTCCACTTGTGAAAAATGGGCGCCCTCTGCAAGATGTGGCTCATATCTGACACCAGTTTGTGAAAGAAAACAGTAGAAGGTAGGGGATTCTCTTAAACCTTTGTATGGCCAGGGATAAAACTTATGGTTGACCTAATAAAATTAGTTTGCTAAGTAAATCACATTATATGGTTCCAAGCACATGTAATAATAATCTTCATATATCCAATAATAATATTAATGTAAAAGTGAATCTGCATACCAAAGAAGAAGAATTAGATAGACCCAAGTTTTTAGGATAGGACGTAGTAGACTACTCTGTCATTCTTTGAAGATGTTAAAGCTTTTAGGTGCCTGGTTTAGGAAAAAGAGCAAAATAGAAGAGAATAAATCAACAAAAGATAAAGATATGCAGCTGTGTCATGTGTTATTTTTTAAGAGCCAATTTTAATGTATATTTTGCTTTCTAGTAAATGTATCACCACCCTTTCCCCAGACTTTGGGAACTTGATTTCAAAATTAAATACAAATCCTATTTTGCTCTGTTGAAACAAGAACTATGATCACTGAGGAAAAGTCTAGTGATTCTTCTTTTTCTGGTAACAATGTTCTGATGTCTGCAGTTCATAAGTTCTTTTACACATTAACCAGAGAGCTCTCACCCATGTCCTTAAAAATGTCCATGTGTGGTGTCTCTTGAGAAAATGATTCAAGTCCCAGTTTACAACTTGCAAATCTCCCCTAACCTTTGACTGATTTATGCATCACAAACTTCATTAGGCTGCAGTTATGTAAACTTCCTTGTGCATATTTTCCAATCCGTCCATTTCTTCCACTTAAAAATCCTATTGTATGTTTAAATATTTATTTCTTTTAATAAACAGATGTTTTGCTTATGGGAAAATACTTCAAATATGCCGTGTTCTTGTTTGATGTCCTAGAAAAATCTGTTAAGGGCAGGGAAGAGAGTTTTGAACCTCCATAAGTCTATTTAATCTTTGCATACAATATCCAAATTCGTGTGTGAGCTAAATTCATCTGATTAAATAATTTCCTACAGTACCAAACAAAATGGAAATGTCCAGAAATCACAGAAATGTTCAGAAAGGAGTCTCAAAGGGAACTCAGTTTGATCTAAAATATGATTATCTATCCTGGAGCAAAAGAAAAATACAAAAGACAAAAGAAAAAATCCTTGATAAACCTCATTATAGTGTTTAGCTGTTCATTCAAATACAAGTCGGGTCCTAATATGGTCTAAAAGGCCAGCTAGAGAGAACTAAGGCTTTTTTTCAAAATAAATATTAAACTCTGATCACAGTTTTCCACTGCACAGGGTCAGACACTGTTTTTTTAATTGTTGGAGCAAAGTTACAATAACAAAATTACATATGGAGAAAAAAAAGTGGGTCACACCTGAGAACACGTTTATAAATGGGGCTGAACTTATATCTTAAGTAAATGTGTGACGTTTTAGAAAGTTTGATGATATTTAGCAAATAGAAATCATTTCAATATCCTATAAATAACCATATAAGAAGGATTTTGACTGTTTTAATGTCAGAGAGTAACAACAAGGTAATGTGTATTTAAATATCTGCTTCCAAGTTTAATTCAGACAAAGAAAAAAGCATTTTGTATCAGAGAACATGAGCCAAAATAAACCAAATGTTCTTTTTTTTTCTCCTTGGCAGTTTGTGTATTCAGAAGTAATATTAAGTTGGGACAAGTGTAAAAATCCATTACATTTTAGACTTGTGTCAACTTGATTTCAGCTGAGTGAAATGAGTGATGTGAGACGGAAAGCATTCACAAAGTAAGAAGTGAAGGAAGCTGTCATTCTTCGTAAATCTATAAATATACTCGACCACTGATAGATAGGTGTTTCAGTTCATGCTGCATTTCACTGAAAAGGTGTTTTTCTAAACAGGAGCAGAAGGTTATGTTATTGACATTCTGGAGAACTAAACAACAGGAAAGAACTCATCAGCACATTGTTGCAACCTGTCATACATCCTGCCATTTCTGACCACAGACAAAATAACAGTTTTTTTAACAGAGTTTGTTTTTAAGGCACAATTTTTTCTAACATCACCACACAAAAAGCTTGAAAAACTCATAGAAAGCACTTAGAACAGTTTTAGAGTAGTTACAGGCACTCAATATGTGTTTAAAAGCAGCACCTTACCCTGCAGGCGCTTCTGTAGCAGCAGGTCAGGTCACCCCTCCTTTCTTAATAACGTCAGCCGCTCCAACTTTTGTTCTTTTTGGTTTCTATCTGGCTTCTGTTGTGTTGTGTTCTGTTCTGGTCCCCTTCACCCAGACATCTTGACAAGCCTTCACTTTCTGTTCCTGTTTCTCTCCCTCACTCTACCCGTGTTTTCCGTACTCCTCCTCCTCTTTTAGTGTGTGTGAGTGTGTTTTGGTCCCTGCCCACTTTCTGTAAGAATGGGCCCTCTGTCTATGCTAATGTTTCCTGCACGGTGTGCTGAATTCTTGCGGTTGCCTTACTTTCCCCACAAAACAAGCATAGAGTGACATCAGAAAGAGAAACTCAAAAACATTTGGTGTAAATTCTTTAATAATTTCAGATTTTTAAGCACAACAGCTATTTATTGAAGAAGAGGAATGTTATAATCCTACCCTACTACATTACATTACCACACAAGAAGACCTTGCAACAGCAGGATATGTTGCAGGAAAGGTGGAGACATCTTGCATAGAAACAAAACAAGAGTCCACCCATCCCCAAGTCCCAAAATGAATAAAGCAAAAAAGGAAGTGAAATTTTCAACGCTGCTGAGAACAACGGCAGGTGAATGAGTCGGATAACAGTGCGATATGAAAGCGACATGTCATGTGAAGTTCGTTCGCTCACAAACCTTGACAATCTGCCTGTGGCACTGTGGTCAATGCTCTCAGCTCAGTCAAGCAAAATGGGATTTTTATTCAAGTAGGAAACATTCATCTCATCCTTTAAGGGAATGTCTTTGAGCTAAAGTGCACTTATTTATGAACTCTATGTCCGTTCACACAATGTAAGATGTGGGTCTTAGTGAACTGGGGAAGTAGATTATCTCAACATTTTGCAAAAAAAATTTTTATGCCAGTAAATACTTCTACATTTTATCTCAATAAAACAACAAACTGTAATATATTATTATCAGCTTGTAATGTTGCCAAAACACTCGTTGGTTGAGATGTACCATAGACCATGAAAGTTGGGGAGAAAATCATTGGGGAAGAAAATTCTCTATTCAGATGAAACCCTTAAGCTTTTTAGCTTTGGTGCAAATGTAATGCAAAATCTCACATGGTCAATATCTAAATATAACTGAGAATTTGTGCACACTTAAAAACTATTGTTTACTAAAGTTGTGGATCCAATCTGGCTGAAGCTGAGCAATTTGCAAACAAGAATGGTCAAATATTTGAGATCCTGATGTGCAAAAGCGGGAAAGAAATAGACTTGCAGCTGTACTTGCAGATAAAAATGTCATTACAAAGTATTAACCTAGGGGCACTGAGTATTAATGCATCCAACACTTTGGGGATTTGTAATTTGTAAAAGAAAATTAGTAAATATTTGAAAACTCCTGAAATTTTACTTATTTACCCACTTAAAATTTAATTTAAAAAAATTTAAGTATGCAGTTGCAACAATGCAAAGTGTGAAAAAGGTATGCGGGTATGAATGCTTTTGTAAGGGGATATATATCCCTGCTTCATAGTCAGTTATTAATATGCCTAAGTTGTTTGTGCTTGTGGGTTATTCACAGTTCTTTTAAATAATGCTTGCTTTGTTTACTTTGTATGAAGTCTGCAGCATGATCAGAGTACAGCTGTGACTTTGTGATAATGCACTCTCAATGGCAGTTCTGCAAACAAAAAAAAAAGAAAGAAACACATACTTCCTGATCAGCTGACTAACTGACTGCACTTTCAGTGTGCTCTTTTGTGCCTGCAAGGCATGGTTTCAAGAGATTTGATGAGGCAAGTCTTACCACATCTTGCAGGTGTGCCTGACTGTCAGCTTTTTACACAGATGCACACAAATGCATACCACGGCTTCCTATCTCTACAAGGACTCTGCAGTCACACATTACTTTCATTATGTTTTTTTCACTGTTGATTTCTTTGACCCTGAGCCATACCCTTAACCTGACCTCACCTCAACCCAGTTCACATAATAGTCCTGGTAAACCTAACCTGTAACAGTAGTGAATAGTACTCACAAAGTAAAATTGGAAAAATGTGCCTTATACTGTTATAAAGGCTGGAGCATACATCCACACATACACACTCTTTTATGCAGTGCTAGCCCAGAGTGTGCTTGGCTGACTGGCAGTGCGTTTAGTGCCACAATGTGAAACTAGGCCCAGCCCAACAGCTGTTAAGGCTCGAGTGTGTCCATTCACCTCGAGAAAGAGTTGATTAATGGCCTTGCCAAAACGACACTTCCCCTGATGGAAATTCATCTTTATGGCACTTAATAATGAAATTCATTTATATATTAATATTCCATTTGCTACTTTGGAAACCCATGTGTTGGAGTCAATCTGGCAGAGATATTTGAATATTTGATTCTAAAAGTTCTGGATGTTGCCTGGTACTCATTTAGTTTTCAGTTATAGCAATGACTAACATGGGAAAACAGTTGGATGTTCTGCAGCAGCCATTACAAGAAATTTGCAATTACTGGATAAATGTATCAAGGGGGATGTATTTGACAATATTTTTTCATTTTTCATGTTGGAAACTGAATTGGTGTTATAAAAAAAGCATGCCATTATAACTTTTCTTTATTTCAAGGACACTGCATTTTCAGCTTATTCTGCACTGACCTCTTGTATGTGTCCCATTTCCTTTGTGAAACCTTACCCTTAATTTATACCACTTTGACCTGCTGCTGTAATGGATGTAGCTGCCATTTTCACAGTGGATCTGAACTATAGTTGGAGGGAAAAGCTGAAATAATACATCCCTTTATCCAGCTAAGGTCTATCGCTGAACAAATTGCAGGAAAGACCAATGAGCTTATGTTGGATCACTGGTCAGACAATCATGATGGCAAAGGAAAAAGGAGCTGTGACATTACTAGAAGCATTAGCTAAAGGCTTATGGAATTACTGGGCCATGTAAGAGAGCAGTTCCGATCACAGAGACCTTTAACATGCTATACACTAGAACATGTGCAACACTGTGTGCTATGTGAGTTCTTGAATGTGAGCAGTAATGAAAAGTGACTAGAGGGAGGTTATAGTGGGATCTGACAAGTGTCCAGGAATAGCTTGGCCAATAAAGTCTCCTCAGGGGCAGACCTACACAATGACTCAGCCGTGTAAAATGTTTGACGATGTTTTGGCGAAAATGCATACCTTCACTTTATAAGGAATTTCTTCTTGTGCTTTACAAGCCATCTGTTAGAGTGTTAACTAAAAGTTTTCACAAGGGCTTCCTTGTTGCATATGAAGTCAGACAGCTATTTTAAGATGTTATTACATAAAAATCAACTGCATAATTCTCATATGTTCCATCCAACTTCCTTAGACTTGATTTTATACCCTTTCTACTCTGTAACTTGAATAAAACAGAGAGATTAAATTGAATTGCGGAGGGAGATATATTTTTCATTACCAAAGGCTGACCATTAATCAACAGGGACTTTCTAGGTTTATTATAGCATTTCGGGTATTTCCAGATGGGGAAGTAAAAAATGTTCTATGGGAATACAGTCACACTGTTTGGGTGTTTTATATCTGGGCCCTCTACGATATGTGGAGTTGGGAAAACAAATGTTTAGCTAAAATACTGTAGATATGGTGTTTTACTGTAAGAACATTAGTAAATACAACATTTATTCCCCTGTATTACTGCTATTACATTATCACCTAAAGCAAGACATTGGCTCACATTTCTTAGAACTCAAAAGTCTGATAACCAGTCTAAAAAAAGCAAAAGCCATGATATGACCTTATGTGGTCACACTGCAATAAACTATGCCATGAATGCACTTCCTTGTTTTGGTTTGTCTTGTGTCTGTGTCTGTGTGTGCAGGATGAGTGCCAGGACATTCACTTAGAAAATTCTCTCTTCATAAGTACTAAGTGCAAAATTTTTGCAATTGTTTTACAAGTATTCATCCATTGTTTCCGTGTAGGATTTATCAAGCAGGCAGCACTAAATACTTTGCGTGCTGACAAAAATGCACCAATCAAGTCCAGGAGATCAGTTAGCTCTGATCCTTCCCCAAAACAGGAAAGCAGATTTTTAAGTGATGTAAGTGATCCATAAAAAATATTTTCAAAGGAAAAGCTCATTTTAGAAAGTGTCCCTAACTTAATAAGTAAAGCATGTTTCTAATGATTCTACTGCTTGAACTTCTTTTAAATCAGTCTAAATAATCAATTAAAATCTGTAAAACAAAAAAGAGAAAACATATATCAGTTAATAGAATTAATGCATAATAAAAAAAAATGCACTTTACAAATCTATATATCTATATATATTTATATAAAAACATAAAAATCGTGTGCAGATTAATTATTGCAGTAATTTAGTGATTACAATAAATCCATCCATCTTCTCCCCCTTATTCCTTCAGGGTTACAGTGGGGCTGGCGTCTATCTCCAGCAGTGCACAGGTGATGCAGGAGGACACTTGAATCTTAAAAGCAAAAATTCTCACTTAAAAAATATGAAGGATAAATACTAAGGGCCTGAATGTTAAAAGGTTTCCACATTATAAAACACATGCAGAGAAGATCAATGAGCAGACAGGCAACTTCCCCAAGTATTATATTTTATCTTTTAGATTTAATGTTAGCTTTTGATTTAATGTTAGCTCAGGTTGCCAGTCTTTCACAGGACTATTGAGAGACATACAACCATGCACAAACACACTCAAGACTAAAGCCAAATAAATTAATAGTCATGTTTTTGAAATGTGGGAGGAAGCCAGAGTACCCGGAGACAACAGATGCATGCACAGGGAGAACATGCATACTCCATGCAGAAAGCCCCCAGGTCGGCAAACCAGAACCGTCCTGCTTCAAGGAAACAGTGCTACAAATTATTTCCAATAAATGTAAAAAAAAAAGAAAGGTTTTCAGTCCCAAAAGCTGCAGAAACCACAGATCAATCCTTTTAAAAAAAAAATTAGGATCGGAAGGACTCCCAAAATATTATTTGTTGTATTTGATAAATGAATCTGAAGACAGTAACATACATCATACATCTATGTGTAAGGCCTTTTTTTTTTTTTACTGCATTAGCTTTCATCTAAAGCTACGTTCACACTGCAGGCCTTGATGCTCAATTCCAATTTTTTTGTTAAATCTGATTCTCTTGTGTGGTCCTTCACATTTCCA